TATCAACTTTTAAAGTCTGAAATTGATTGAATTCAAAATTGAGTGAGATACAGAATTAATGGCAGGATTGCAAAAGTAGGAAACAAAGGACTGGTAATTAAAAAATATAGACTTTCTGATAAAAATGAGGCTAGAGTTCAAGTTATAAGATTTCATACATTCATTCATTTATTTATTACAAATACCTTTTAAAAATGACTATATAAATCTTATCTATCTAATGGACTACATGGGAATGATGGATGGCTACAAAGAGTGTTATGCATATACAATATAATAAACATAAATAAGGTCACCAAACTAATGTGAACAATACTAAAGTGTCATATATATATATTTTATGGTTGTTTTTGTTATTATTAGGTGTGGTCACATCAAGTAATACTCATAGTGGCACTATGAAGAACCAAACTAAATCCTGTCCAATCCTATGCCATCTTCATCATCTCTGACACACTATGGACTTTGATTAGTGATCTATGCAGGATGAAACAATTGACAATTTCAATCTTTATTTGCTTGGCATACAGACCGGATACACACACAAATACACACATATTCCTTACCAACAGGCCAATGGGAAATAGCTTGGATCTACAATCAAGACCCTTGGTATTTAGCATCATAGAAATAATATAAGTTTCATTGGAAATCTGCTGTCAGGGATCTTTTTAGAGTACTGAAGCGTGAGCAATGAGGTCAACTTAACAAATAAGAAGTACTTGGTCTTTTGATTTGTTCATTGCACATCTAAAATTTAGAAAATAACTAAGGAGTCTAGAAGAAGAATTTTTGTCTTTGAGTTGTGGTGTTGAAGAAGAGTACTGAACAGTCTATGGACTGTCAAGGGAACAAATAAGTCTGTCTTGGAGAAAGTGAAAAAGAGTGCTCCTTGGAAGTAAGGATTGTGGAACACCATCTCATATACCTGGGGCAGGTTGTTAGCAGTGGCCAGTTTTTGAAGAACACCATATTTGGAAAAGTGGAGGGTCAGCTTAAGAGAGAAAGACTTTTGACTAGATGAATTGATAAAGTGACTGCAGCAATGGGCTCAAATGTGTAGGAGATGGTGAAGATGACACAAGGTAAGGAAGATTTCAGATCAGTTGTTCATAAAGTCATTATGAGTTGCAATCAATGTGATGGTACACAAGATCATAACAGCAACATACATATACACACACAACTTTAACAAAATATCTTTTTAATATTTATGACATAATGTCTTTTATATCTTAAATATGAAAATAGAGTTTAAGCTATTAAAAAGGCATCATTTTTGAAGGAAACTGAAATATATTCATAGGGAACTCTAATGCCAGTCTATCAAACTATGTAGAGACACTGCTGCTAATCCAGAGAGAATGCCTCTCTGGCAGTTTAATTTCACCATCCTTTCAGGGGGAGAAAAATGGGCAAGCTCCTCCTGACTGATTTGTTTCAGAAAATCTACTAGAGGGTCAGCTATCATTTAATTCCAATGTAATAGCAATGATGGAGTGAGAGTTAGTTGTGTATTATAGTAAACTAAGTAAATTGCAATGCCAGGTGCTTACAGACATGTGTTTTTAATTCTGAGCAGGATTCCTGATAAAACTTCTTTTGGTAAAAATTGAAATATGGGCAATTCTTGTCAATCTTTGGAGGATATGAAAACCTGTAATAGAGAGAATAACATTATTTTTAAAGTTAGAGATATTCCTATATAAATTGTATATATGAAATTAATAATCCTACAGCTTTCCTTTCTGGTATTTTGTTAATAGTGATAATATTTTTTAGAACCCTCTGTTGCCATTATGTTGAAACTGACCTACAGTAAGTTGACCCTTCAGTGTATTTTCAGAGACTGCAGTCATACAGGAGATTCTTTCTCTAATAGAACAAATTTAAACTAAGCAATTTTGAGTTGAGAGTGTAACCCCATATCCATATATCCATATCCCCACATACAGTAGGTAATATATAATTTGATATTTTAATAAATAATTTTTAAATAATTTACTTAGATGTATGATTAAATATCTAATCTGATTATGTCCTATACTACTACTATTTGGTCCTAAAAGCCTTCTCAGATCTCAACTCTTCTCACTATTTCTTAGTTGTTGGAATTGATGGAAAACCTCATAAGCAGTTCCTTACTTCACCTCTGCTGTGCATGCGGACTTCTGAGTTGTAAAACAACCCAGAGGTAGATGGAATTTTCTCCAGGACTTAAGAACAATAAATGACATAGTTGAGCCCCTACATCTTGTGATTCCTAACCTTTGTACTATAATAGACAAAGTGCTAGTCAATAGGCCTTTTATTGTAAGAACTGCCTTCCCTCTGTAACTTGATTTGTGCCACTATTAGAACCTCTACTTGGAATATTACTGCTTTTTAATTTTTGACTCATGTACTTTTAACTTGTTAGCTAAATTTGTGTCTTCTAGGCTGCAACACTTCCATGATACATCTTCAAGGATATGAACATGTACAGC